AGGAAAACGGGGGCATCCCGCTGACTGTAATCACAAAAAGAAACAGTTCATGCAAAAAACAGGGATAATAAAAACCAAAAGGAAAGAGATCCTGCAAACTCTCAACAAAATGACTGCCTGTCCAAAATAAATTGTTAGTATCTGAACCATCACTGGTATATCATAGCAAAGACTCAAACAAGATCTAATGCACGATTAGCTGAGTTTAGGATCGAAGAACATCACGAAGAACGGGTGGGTACAAATAAGTTTTGAGCCTTTATCCTTTGTTTCTTGAACCATGAACCAGGCCACATTATAACCCTTAAAAGTCCTAGCTGAAGCATGAGTTAGTTCGAAAGCATATTGTTACAAAAGGTATCCTGACTCCTGTAGGGCTTGCTGTAAATCCTGAGTTGACATCACATTTTAAAAATTTTGCCTGTTTTACTGAAAAATGAATTTTAAAAAATTTCAAGACAGACATAAGCTTTGCATTCTTAAAATAACATTGTTTGCATATGACTATTTGTTCAAACAGCAGAGAAATTTGCATGATGAATATCTAGTGAACAAAAAACCTTCTCAATAAAAAAAGATCACCTCAAGTGGAAAAACACTTCCAACCAAGGGGCACGACATGATCATTGTCCATCATCTGGGGCAGTCAAGTCAAGATTCAGAGAATCTCTCAAAGATGCCAAATAGCGAGGGGCAAATCTCCATCTGAGTCACTTGGGGCATTGGAGATGAATTCCAGCAACGAATCTTGCATGATCAAATGAAGATCTTCTGGTAGTATGGCAACACAACACTACCGACAATGACACCTCCCTACATCCTGAGAGTGTGGACATAGTCAGAAAATACCGCGCATGAATAAAGACCCGCTAGGTTGACTGGCCTAGGCAAAAATAAGGGCTTCTCGGCGAACCAAAAGGGTTCGGGAAAAAATTAGGGATGAGAATGAAAAATTGTACACCCGGCAAGTCGAAAACCTGAAAAGGCGGCTTGGGCAAAAAGGGTATCCCGGTGGACTGAAAACCCGAAAGGGCGGTTCCGGCAAAAATTAGGGATCAAAGCGTACGACTATGTCTCGTCATCTCGTCACTTGCCTACCAGAAGAAGACTTTTCATTTTGACCGAAAGATACCAAGCACCTCATAGGTGGGGATAATACTCGATCCACAGGGCCTCCGCAGGCACCTTCTCCCGCAGAAACAGGGGCAAAAAATTCTCGATGCAAGCCATCGTCATATCCTTAGCACGCGTCTCAGTAACATTCACTCCCCGCAGAGTAAAACAGTAAAGATAGCTCTCCCTAGCTGAGGCTTGCAACTGTGAATGAGTCGGTAATATTCTCCCCAAGCAGAGTTTATCTACCATCAACATTGAAAAGGCTTAATATCCCCGACAATCTTAATATTCCCCAGCGGAGTATAAGAATATTCCCCAGCAGAATACAAGATATCCCCAGTGGAGTTAAAATTTTCCCAGCGCAGTCTGAAAAAGCTTCCCCAACGGAGTTGAAGAATCATCCCCAGTAGACTCCGGAAGTTCGTCCCCGACGGAGTATAAAAATAAATATCCCCAGCCGAGTTCAAAGGAAGATTGTCCCCAGCAAAGCTCAAAGGATTATCCCCATTAGAGTCTAGAAAGTTATCCCCAGTGAAGTCGCAACTGAAAGATCATCCCCAACAGGATTCAATATCACCAGCAACGGTGATTCATCCCCAATGGAATTTATCGGTGGAATCCTCAGCAGAGCATTTCTTCCCCACAGAGTAATCTCCTCATCAGTTTTATGCCCCAACGGAATTATACTTTCCTGCAGGTTTATTCTCGCAATCACCTTCGTTCGCCATCCCCAGCGGAAATGAAGAATTCAACTCTATTATCCAACAGCTATCCGGGATTTAATTTCCCCAACTAAAACATTACATTTCCATACATCATGATACATGTATATACGCATCATACAACGCAATCTCATTTATTTTGAGAAAATCATTGCTTGATATATATCATGCATTGCATACGACTGACCTTTACTTTTCAGGAAAGATGCAGTTAAGTTCTCAGTTATGTCGAAGACCTGGACCGATTCTTAAATCTCAATTGAATTATCCTCGGTTGAATTTCAGATAAGGTTCTCAATCTCGACAATTTTCCTCCGTCATAGTGTGGACGAGTTCTACAATCTCAACGGTATACTATGTTGAAGACCAGACAGTTACTAGATCTTGATGAAGATGTTTTCCTCCGTCATAGTGTGGACGAGTTCTACAATCTCAACGGTATACTACATTGAAGACCAGACAGTTCCTAGATCTTGATGAAGATGTTTTCCTCCGTCATAGTGTGGACGAGTTCTACAATCTCAATGATATACTACGTTGAAGACCCGACAGTTCCTAGATCTTGATGAAGATGTTTTCCTCCGTCATAGTGTGGACGAGTTCTACAATCTCAATGGTATACTACGTTGAAGACCAGACAGTTCCTAGATCTTGATGAAGATGTTTTCCTCCGTCATAGTGTGGACGAGTTCTACAATCTCAACGATATACTACGTTGAAGACCAGACAGTTCCTAGATCTTGATGAAGATGTTTTTCCTCTGTCATAGTGTGGACGAGTTCTACAATCTCAACGGTATACTACGTTGAAGACCAGATAGTTCCTAGATCTTGATGAAGATGTTTTCCTCCTTCATAGTGTGGACGAGTTCTACAATCTTAATGGTATACTACGTTGAAGACCAGACAGTTCCTAGATCTTGATGAAGATGTTTTCCTCTGTGATAGTGTGGACGAGTTCTACAATCTCAACGGTATACTACGTTGAAGACCAGACAGTTCCTAGATCTTGATGAAGATGTTTCCCTCAGTCGAAGACCTGACTGATTCTTAAATCTCAACTGAATGATCCTCGGTTGAATTTCAGATAAGGTTCTCAATCTCAACAATTTTCCTCCGTCATAGTATGGACGAGTTCTACAATCTCAACGGTATACTACGTTGAAGACCAGACAGTTCCTAGATCTTGATGAAGATGTTTTCCTCCGTCATAGTGTGGACAAGTTCTACAATCTCAACGGTATACTACGTTGAAGACTAGACAGTTCCTAGATCTTGATGAAGATGTTTCCCTCATTCGAAGACCTGGCTGATTCTTAAATCTCAACTGAATGATCCTCGGTTGAATTTTAGATAAGGTTCTCAATCTCGACAATTTTCCTCCGTCATAGTGTGGACGAGTTCTACAATCTCAACGGTATACTACGTTGAAGACTAGACAATTCCTAGATCTTGATGAAGATGTTTTCCTCCATCATAGTGTGGACGAGTTCTACAATCTCAACGGTATACTACGTTGAAGACCAGACAGTTCCTAGATCTTGATGAAGATGTTTCCCTCAGTCGAAGACCTGACCGATTCTTAATTCTCAACTGAATGATCCTCGGTTGAATTTCAGATAAGGTTCTCAATCTCGACAATTTTCCTTCGTCATAGTGTGGACGAGTTCTATAATCTCAACGGTATACTACGTTGAAGACCATACATTTCCTAGATCTTGATGAAGATGTTTTCCTCCGTCATAGTGTGGACGAGTTCTACAATCTCAACGATATACTACGTTGAAGACCAGGCAGTTCCTACATCTTGATGAAGATGTTTCCGTCAGTCGAAGACCTGACCGAATCTTAAATCTCAACTGAATGATCCTCGGTTGAATTTCAGATAAGGTTCTCAATCTCGACAATTTTCCTCTGTCATAGTGTGGACGAGTTCTACAATCTCAACGGTATAATACGTTGAAGACCAGACAGTTCCTAGATCTTGATGAAGATGTTTTCCTCCGTCATAGTGTGGACGAGTTCTACAATCTCAACGGTATACTACGTTGAAGACCAGACAGTTCCTAGATCTTGATGAAGATGTTTTCCTCCGTCATAGTATGGATGAGTTCTATAATCTCAACGGTATACTACGTTGAAGACCAGACAGTTCCTAAATCTTGAAGAAGATGTTTCCCCCGGTAGAGTTACGGACAAGTTCTTAAAACTCAGCAAAGATGTCCTCTCAGCTGAGGTACAGGCAAGTTCCTAAATCCTAATAAAAGTTAGACTTCCCCAGCAGAATCTTCTACAACAACAGGTATGTAAGTTCTCGCTAAGGAATCTCTTATTCGATCGACGCTCCTGCAGATGGCATCTTTAAGCCCATCCTCCCGCTAGCAATCTCCAAATGGCATCTGTAATCCCATTCCTGACATCACAAAGCTGACACCACTTCATGCGAGTGCAAATTTCTGGGCACTCTAGTGTCCAATCATCTTCCACCTTCAGATCACGAAAGGCACGAAAGCCAATCTACATCCTCAGGTTTAAGAAGATTGAACAGGGGAAGCTGTTGTACCCCAAAATTTGCCCTCTCATAATTCTTAAAACATTGCAAGAAAAATCTCCAAGTTGCCCAAGGTTGCTCAAAATTGGTCAGACAAGCTATCTCCTAAGGCAGTTTTCCCCAAATTAGGGTTTTGTGTTGCATCAAGATCCTTGAATCCAAATGACCAGTGGCGGAGCCAGGAAAATTATGAAGCCTGGGAAAGTTTTCATTGGCTTCATAATTTTCTACCAAGACGGTACAATGCTAATCCCAAAGGAATTATTTCCTTGAATTGCAATTACCTCTTCAATTTGTAAGATTTCGGATTTTATAATATATACATGTTAAAATTTCGGATTCTATAATATATACATGTTACAGTATTTCAGGTGTGCTCACAAAATGAACAAACCTATAAAAGCCGAGAAAATTAGTTCAACACGCTCATTTGTGTGAAATTAAGTACTGCCTAAAAACACCGCTATCAATTCAAATTTCAAATAATGTTGTCAAATGCATATCGGCGAAGTGGTGGTTTGTTAAAATTCCGATATGCTACAAAGTAGATGAATGAGTATAATTATCTCTTTTCAAACAGTTATCGAGATTTTCCATTCAAAAGTCAGAAAGTTAAACAAGTAACGCTGCCAACCATTTGCACATATATTTTCTAGATAAACAACTACGTACCTGATTCACCAGCTGGTTTTTGAATATTTCGGGATTCAGCTTTCGTTCAGAATGAAATGCATAAGATACTTGAGCATCCATTCCTATAATCAGCAATTACAGATATTTCAACAAGTACTGAAGTTAGGTGGACCTAGAAACAAATTCACCCAATATAATCTAAGATCTGAAATATTCTTGGAACCAGACCAAAATGAATGGATTCTTTCCTAGTGGAAAGCTCATTCATATGGTCCCACGACCCACAACATCGAGTTCAGGTTCAAAAGAAATGAGGAATAACTATTTTTACTTACCCATGCTGAAGTAATTCCAAAATCCACCACGAAAAGTGAGGTAACCATCCTGAGAAACAATTAAAGCAAAGAGGAAGATGAGGTGAATCGGAAAGAATACTCTCTTCTAAAGTTCATATATTAAAATCAAGAAGAAAATTCAGTAAAACCTACAAAACATTTTGTATCACTAGTTTGCATTGTCCCTCTAGAAATTAGGCTTCTATTATGGATGGCGAAAATCAGATATTTACTAACCCAATATCTTCTGATCAATCTTCAATATAGTTAACGGTATGATGTTTTACCATATTAAGTTCATCTGCTTCAGATACACGGTGGAAGGCATGCAAAGAATGTGGCAGCTCAAGTGGCGGAATTGGATCACAGGAACCTTCTTTTGGAGTCCTCATCCTCATAAGAATATGCCAGCTGAAGTATAAGAAAAATCTATTACAATTATCAAACAGTATTTGCAGAATAAATCAATGCAGTGGCACAATAGAAGTAACTCAGGTGCCAAGTCATCTAGTTATGAAAATCATGACACGACTATAAAAATAAGAGAACTATTCTAGTCATAGGATTAAAAAATAGGCCGAGAACTCTTTACTTGTCTATTTTCATTTCCTTGGCCTTCATGACTTGATCTAAAAATGCCTCAACTGAGCGTTGATCTGTCCCTGGGTTCTTCTTCCCCTATAATGCAGCAAAAACCAATTGCTTTCTCATTTATCATCAAAATAGAAAATCTTCGTACATTAGAGAAATTGGGTGGAAAGTTGTAATCTAGTACATGGAAAACATACAAGAAATTCAGGAATAAACCAGCATAATAACATACCACCTCTCTCATAATACAAGAAAAGGAATACCGACACAATAAAAGTTTTTCATGTGAAAACTAACTAAAAATCTTAAATCTCCCAGCATCAAAATAAAACTTGAGTTTCCTACCCAACCAAATGCAAAAGGTAGATTATTCCCAGTGCCCAAGGGAACAGTAGCAATTGCAGGTGGATGAGATAATTTGAGATCACAAACAACTCCAAGTAGCCAGCCTGCTGTTCCATCACCCCCTGCAACCTGAAGACAAGTGCAAAGTATTAGAAACTCATAACAAAGAAAGTTCGTAGCAACAAAAATTTGCTTTGGTTGCTTACAAAAATGGTAAAATCAACCCATAAAATTATGTATCACAACTCACAATTAACTTCAACCTCGCCATGAACTTCAACCGATTCAGCTCCGGAACTCCCTTCACACCTCGATTCTGCCGCCCCAGCCACTGCTCTTCAACAACCGAGCAACACATGCGACCACCACGTTTTCAGCAGCAAGTGGCCTCCTCCAGATCACCAGGATCGACGACGACGACCTTGTAGCATCACAACAACGATTCGATGAAACTCAAACCGCGGATCTGTAACCCAGCCAACAACAACACCGTACCTCACCGGGGCGGCCAAGCCTGGGCAGCTGCCCTAGCTGGCCGGACGCTGGCTCCTCCAGTGCAAATGACCTCAAGTGCTCCCCAATGTCCTAATATGTTCTCAAGGTCATCCATGTCAAATTTCAAGCCTTGCAGAGGAAGTTTGCTCAGTCAATTGCTCAAAAGGTCCAAAAATTGAATGTACTAGGACACAAGTCAATTGTGGCCTATAAACAGTCAAACTTCAAGATTTTTTGCCAACATTCTCATTTTGAAGAATATTTCATCATTTGATCAAGGGTTGATCATGATTCATCAAGGATTGCTCAAAATTCATCAAGACTCAAAAGTTGCTAAATTAGGGTTTTGCAGGAAAAGTCAACTCAACTTTGACCAAGCATAACTTTCTCACACTTTATGAGAAATGACCCATCCAAAGCTCATTTTTAATAGGATGCAATTCCATACAATCCATCTTCATACCAAAAGATCAGAAAATTCACTCACAAGAAGTTATAAATTTGGACATTATAGGTCATTTTTGAAAGTCAACAAAACACCTTTTTTTCCAAAGCTTATAACTTGAGCATGAAATATCAAAATGAGATGAAACCAAAAGGGTTGGTTATAGGACATATCAAGCTTTCTAAAAAGTCAAAGAACACTTCCAAAAGTTCAAAATTGAAGAAGTTATGCATTGTTGAAGTTGGACATTTTTGCAAAATTGCCAAAAGTCAACTATCCCCAAAACATCAAATTTTGTCAAATGGGCCCATTCTTTTCCACTTGATCTGAGCTTACATCATTGCCCACGTTTCCTAGCTTCAGCCATGAGCCCATATCTTATTTTTATTATTTAATTTGATTTTTAATTGAATTTATTCACTTTAAATCAAATAAAATCATATAAAATCAAAAGTATTTATAACTCATGATTTTTTGGTTGCTTTAGGCTTTGAATAAAGCTATTATGTGAATCAAATTTGTATCAAGTGCATTGGTTAAAAGAAGATATGATTTAGGCCAAATTTGGAAGGTTGTAATGGTGGAATCAAATCCAATTCATGAGCATTGATATGGAGAGATTTGTACCAAGTTTCTAACCCTAATGCAATATACATTACATAAGGAAGGCAAAGGCATGAAAATAGAGGTTAGAGGCTGCAAGAAGAGGCAGAACAAAATTTTGAAAAAGTGGTAAAAAGCTTGAATTCGAGATCATAACAAGAGACGTTTTTCAGAAGCCAAAAGCTATCCCAATCGCTTCCTGGGTGTTCACTCAACCTTCCTGGATCAAGAGCAAGCGTTCTCACATACCACAAAGCACTGTAAGTATCACAAAAATCACCTTGGTTCTTGAATCCGTGATTCATTATTCTTGCATCATTTGAACAAATTGCTTGCATATTCATAACCCTCATGACATTTGTAAACTTTTTGCATTATTCAATTTGGTTTATAGGTGTTGTAACCCCAAAACACCAGAGCTAGGGTTGTGTGTTTGTTTTTAGAGCTTTCTTTTTCAGGAAAAATCAGGACTCAAGAAGGACATAATGTTAATCAGGAAGCCAAGACGAACTCAGCCATGTTTTTGGAATTGATTTATGTGGCCTAGGGAAGATTTTAGAGCAAGCTTGTGTATTTAGATTTGGATCCAAATCCGCAGGTAATATTTGCAAGATTTGGAGGTAGAAGACGACGAGCTGTCGTTCTCCCATTGGCCAATTCAAATTAATTTTCGCGCATTTTTATTTTCTGGCATATAATTTGTTTTGTTTATATTATAATTTCTTTGTATTTTACTAACAATAGAATCAAAGCAGTGCAGTGGCAAGCATGCAAGCATATCACTTTCAGGACCTGGGTTCGAATCCCAGGTCCCCCACTTTCTTTGTTATTTTCCTTCTTCAGGTAATCGCATGTACGTCCAAGCATGCAGCGCACCATACGCCTTCACACATCCAACAGCCAGATGGCCAAAGGTCAGATCTGGTGATCTAGGCTGAGAGTCCACCATGGAGTCAAGTCTTAGTACGCACACGGAATCCTAAAAGTCAAACCAGGCCAGCGCTTAATGGGCCTCATCATTGCTATATGCACCACAAAATTCAGGCCAAAACCTCTCTCTCTCTCTCTCTCTCTCTCTCTCTCTCTCTCTCTCTCTCTCTCTCTCTCTCTCTCTCTCTCTCTCTCTCTCTCTCTCTCTCTCTCTCTCTCTCTCTCTATATATATATATATATATATATATATATATATATATATATATATATATATATATATATATATATATATATATATATATATATATATATATATATATATATATATATATATATATATATATATATATATATATATATATATTTTATTTATTTTGTTTATTAATTGTTTTTATTATTTTTGTTTTTAATTCTAACCAATCATTAAAATTCTTTTTCTTTAAAATAAAATCACACCAAAATATTTTTATTTAATCAAATTCTAAGTTTTATTTTTATTAATAAACATTAATTAAATTAATTTAGGTTTTAATGTTAGAATAATTTTAACCCTTTTTGCAAATAATTAAAATTAACTAGACTTAATTAGGTTTTACAAATTCAATTAATTTTTATTTTCTTTCTTTAAATAACCAAAAATCCAAAAATAACTTTTTTTTTCATTAATTAATTAATTTATTTAATTTAGTGATTAATTTAGATTTATTTCTTTCTTAAAATATAAAAAAACCACAAAACATTTTCTTTATCAAATTAAATTCTAACTTTTATTTTTTTTAATAAAAATTAATTAATTGATTTAGAATTTTAATTAGAATAACTTTCACATTTTTGTAAATAATTAAAATTCAATTAGATTTAATTAGGTTTTTTTACTAACATTAATTAATTTTTATTTCTTTCCTAAAATACAAAAAAACCCAAAAATATTTATTTTTATTAATTAATTAATTAATTTAATTTAGTAATTAATTTAGATTTATTTCTTTCTTAAAAAGAAAAAAACAACAAAAAAAGATACTTTCTCTCAAAAAGGGTCAAAACCCTATTTGCGCTCGATATAATTTCTCGCACGCGATTTATTTTCTTTTATATCATAATGTATTTGTTCCCGGTTTGTAATAGTTAATAGGACCTTTATTTATTTTTTATCGCTTTATTTATTTTTACAAAGGGTTTGTCTTTGGCGATGTAAATACCCGACGCCTTGTAATTTAAATTCCGCATTTTATTTCCCGTAAAATATAACTGTTAGATGTTTGATAATAGGAGTGCATGACAAGAATGAATGTTTAACCTAAAATCAACTTAGATCACCCTTAACATGTACAAAGATAAAAATAACCGAAAACGACACACTCGCACATGCGCACTCTTAGGGTACACCCCACTTGGTTGCCTTCGTACGCGGTCATTGAGTATAGGTCACTTTAGAGGTCTCCCTCTTGTCTAAAAGATCATAGTTGCGTCGAAATGGTTGCCTCGGATATTGTTGCCTCAAAACAAATGATCTAAGACATTAGGGTTACCGCTAAGGCGTCCTAACATTGCTTTAGTGACCGTAAGTCCCTAATTCGAATTGACTCTTAAAGTCCAACGACTGTGCTACCTATTTGTTGTACCCCAAAATTTGCCCTCCCATAATTCTTCAAGAAAATGCCAAGTCAAGCTTCAAAGTTCCCCAAGGGTTGCACAGTGCAAAGGTCTCCTGAACAGTCAAAACTAGGGTTTGTGTTCTGATCAAGAAAATGAAGTTTCCAAAGGTCCAATCAAGTCTCACATGCCTACAAATATGGTCAAGCATCCTCATACAAAGTTTCAAGACATTCAGCTCAAAATTGCACAGTCAAAACCCTAATTGCACTACAGTCAACTGTAGGGGCAAAATGGTCATTTGACAGTCAAAAGTTCAAAATTTTTGGTCAACATATCATTTTGAAGCCACAAACATCATTTTATCAATGCTTGATCATGATTCTCAAAGCTTGGCTCAAAAATCATCAAAATGCAAAAGTTTCCTTATTTGGACAGCTCAAAAAGTCAACTGTAAATTGACCAGGGCATAACTTTCACATGGATTATCATAAAAATTCCATCCAAAGCTCATTTTTAAGAGAAAGACATTTCCTACAACTCATCTTCATACTTCAAGTCCAAGAGATGCTCTCACAAAAAGTTATCAATTTCAACATTATAGGTCATTTTCAAAAGTCAACAAAAAGGGACTTTAAGTCAAAGGCCATAACTTGAGATTGGTAAATCAAAATGACATGGGACCAAATACATTGGTTAGAGGATTCAAAGAACTTTCCAAAATGTCCAAGAACATGAGAAAAGCTTAAAAATTGAGCAAGTTATGCCTTGTAGAAGTTGGGAAATTTTTGGATATTTTGAAAAGTCAACATTGATTCAAATGACCTAAAATTGCTAATGGGCCCATTTTTCTTCCATAATTCATCATCCATGACATGTGCACGACCCCTTGGCCCAAAGGGAAGTTTTTATTCATTTTTTATTTATTTATTTGGATTTTTATTAATAATAATTCATTTAAATTAAAATAATACATGAAAAATGCTAACCTAAATTTTTTCAATCTTTTTGTGCATGTTTTATCCTCAAGATTTCGTGTACAACTAAATAGGGAAAGATTTGGATTGATTGATCATGATTTGAACAAAAAGCACATGGAAAATATTTGGAAAATAATGCTTGAAAATCAAATCTTCAAAACCATCATTGCAAGGGATTTGATTTGTTTTTCTTAACCTAATTGATTCATACATAAGCCAGGAACACAACCCTAATGATCACACACACACAGCTGCTCAGAAAAGCCATTATCAAACTTGAAATTTTTCTCTAAAAACTCAATTCTGAAAA